TATGGGATCGCAACCCTCGGTGTTGCTCCCGCACCTCGCTCAGCCAGTGAGCGGCCGGTCTGTATGTGGGATCCGAACCCTCGGCGGGAGCGCCGCCGCGCTTCCCAAGCGGCAAACTGTAGCAGTGCGCCACCGGGCCGGCCCGGAATCATTTTCTTAATTTTTCTGTAGCAAGTAATACTTCAGCAAAAGAAAAATAAGCATGAGACGCTCTCATGAGGTAGTTACTAGAACTGACTCACACCGCTGATACTTGGGCACGGGCAAGAAGGACTCAAAGGTTGAAACATTCTCTGACTAAGGAGCTTTGCTGACCTCTTTATAACTGTCCCACTGTAGGACAAAATTCTCTGCTATTGGGGAGCACCTATAGGAACTCAGAGCGAAGCGAAGGGTGCTCTAACTGAAATAACTTTTAAATTTTTAAAAATTTATTTATTTTTGAAATAATTTTTTAAGTTACATTTACTGAGATCCTAGAACGGGGTTTTCTCATGACAGTAATCTAAATATCTCCTACATTTAAATTAGATGAGAGCTTGCAGAATCCCAACTCCTGTGTCTTTTGTTATTTTGAAGTCAGTGTCACAAGGGGCTGGGAAAGCTCTTTCATCATTCCCCTGGGAGGTTGGGATGATCTGGAGTTTTCTATTAAAACACACACACACACATATTCTTCAAGCCCAGTGTAGCTGGCATTGGTTCTTAGAGAAGTTTCCAGTATTTTTATCTCCTCTTGATGTCCTGGGCTTGTTCCCAGAACCCAGTGATTTTAGTTGTTAGTTGTTTTATCAGTGGAATAAAGAGCTCGAAAGGTCTCTGCCTGAAAAGAATGAAATGTTAGTTACTAGAGAAAAGGACAGGAACAATGTTATTTTGCCTCAACCCCTCCCTGTCACAGTGTCTAATTATCATCTGTTCGCTGAGAGTAAATAAATCTCCCCATCTATGGGCAAGGGTAATGAGGACATTCATTTATAAGCAAGGAAGGGATGAATGTCTTTCCCAGGGGACAAATGAAACAGAGGAGAAGGATAAAGCCAGGTGGAAAATAAGTATTGATGTGAGTGGGATATGATAAAATTCATCTCTAGAGGGATAAAAAGCAAGCGAGGCATTTAATGGTTTTTGTTGGACAGCAACTACTTTGCTAAATTATTTTATATATATATAAATATACATAAATACGTATATATACACATACTTAATTTAAAATATATATCTTCAGAAAATAGTTGGGCTTTTCTTGAACCTCCTCCCATCCCCCAATGCTAGTCTCAATTTGTTAAGCATTTGGATGCCAACTCACAAAACCACAAATGTGGTCCCTGGTGAGATTATTTTCAGTAACAGTATCAATATTCTGCTTCACTGCAAGGTGTAAAGATGTGGGTGGCTCTTTTGAATGAGGCCAGCTCAACCATTTTGTCTTAAATGAATCCTGATAGAAAGTGAGACTTTCCTCCTCCAGGTTTTAATTAGTCAGTCTTTAAAACCCTGCTATTTATTCATCTCCAGTAACTGGAAATCCTATTTAATCAGACCATGTAGCCTTGAAACCCCACCCCCGGAGCTACCTCATTAATGAAACTAGAGCCATGCTGCTCACATACTAGAATCCAGAGTTAACTGAAACACATACATGAATTACAGAAGAAACTGTAATTCATATTCTACTGCCCACCTTTAGCAGTAGAACTTTGGTCGAAGCCACCAAAGTTGCATGAGCTTTCTTTTCTCCTTAAGGTTAGTTGTCTCCAGGAGCAAAATACGACATCCAGAGAGCAAGCCCCAAGGAGAAGGCTTCCTTCACCATAGTCTGCGGCCCCTGGCTTTAGATTACTTCTCTCTGCTGCCACCCAAACTATAAATGTATACAAGAGAACTGATCCTGACAACTGTGTAAGGCGTTTCAGTGTGTAAACTCTGTTGCACAGCTAGGGTGAGCTGTAGGTGTGATCCCGTGCTGTTCAGGCAGCTTAGCATCGGTATGGAGCCCTGAACAGTCCTGCAGAGCCTCAATCCCTTTCGAGCTCCACAGCCTCTCCTCTAGGCCTTGCTCCTTAGAGATACTTCTCCCCCTGTGGTCCTCCCTCTTTCTTCTGATCTTGGGCTTATGCTGAATTTCCTTTCAGCTTTCTAGATCTCTGCAGAGATGAGATCTTTTCCAGAGCCCCCCCTATTTGTTCTGAGGTTCAATCTGCATGTGGGCAGGGATTGGCCCATGCTAAGTTGGGAGCCCTCTGGACACTTCCCAGTGCACCATCTCCATCAGCACATCCCAGGTCTGGCATCTCACAGCTATGCTCTTTCTGCTTCCCTTCTGTCCCCTCATCTCCTTACTCCTACAATAGGTGAATTTTAGAAAACCCAGAAGGGAGAGTAGAGACCCCTTAAGCTCACCTCTTCATTTACAGACTTATGACAAGTGCCCTGTTTTTACAGATGAGCTGACTGGTGCTCTATTTTTAGGGACTTCCTCAAGTTTTCATAGCCAATTAGTTACCTTAGAGCTTCCTGTTGGCAGAGCCCAGGACTGCAAAGCCCCCGGTGGTCACCCATCCAAGCAGCTTGCCTGTTTACACCTGTGACACACAAATGTCATCCTTCCAATGTAGGCCATGACATGTGAAAGGTTGGGAAGCACAGAAGGAGAATGGGGGGTTCCAGCTTCCCATAGAGCTTTCTACTTACCCTCTTCAGTGGGGGGTCAGTGCTTGCTGCTCCTATTTTCTCACTAGTCACTCCTCGAAGATTTTTTTTTAAATCCCAGTTTCTTCCAACAAACCTGGTTCAGACCCCGGCCCTATTCCCCAGCATAGGTCTCCTAATCTCTTTGAGGGATCCCTCACTCCCTCGGTAGCATAATAAAGGCAGCCACTGGCTTATCAGCAGTATAACACACTGCCTTGCGGCATATAAAAATGTTTTAGGCCTCAGGTGACATGTCTAGAAGCATCCCGTCTGGGGCCTGCCCTAAATCGATAGTCACTTTTATGAGATTCTGAGTAAACTGGTAGGCTGGCTCTATCTCTTCTCACTGATCAGCAGCCCTGGAGCAGGAGAGATTGGCCTGGCCTACTCCATGTATCACAAAGGAGTGCTCCAAACTTGTTCAGTGCCCAGTTATCCATTCATTTTATTCAATAAATTCTTACTAAGTGCTATGGATGAGCAAGGCCCTTGGTAAGATGAACACACAATGATGAGATATAGCGGCCGCTAGTGGGGGCATCAAGGAGAGACTTTAATTTCTTTTATTCATTCAAGAGGCATCAATTAATCTCTACTTCTCAAGCCCTTATGCTAGGTGCTAAGGATACTATGGTTATAAGATGAAAACAGTCTCTGCTTTCATGAATCTTACATTCTAGGAGGGTATGTAGGTTAAAAACAAGTGAATACACAAACAAATAAAGTAATGACAGATATTTAAAGTTCTGTGAAGGTAACAAAACACTAAACTAGAGAATAGGGAGATGGGTGGGGAACCCACTTTAGATAAAGTGGTCAGAGAAGGCTTCATTGAGAAGGTTCTATTTAAGCTGAGACCTGAAGATGGGAGAGAAATTATCAGGTAAAGAATGGAGTTAGAACATTCTAAGCATAGGAAATAGCACGTGCAAAAGTCCTGAGGCAGGAACAGTTAGTGTCACAGTGAGAACCATCCCTATGGACACATCTCTTGCTTCCCTCCTTTCCAGTTGGGCCACAGGGGCTACCTCTTAGAAAGGGAATGGGCAGGGCCAGCCTGTGGCTCACTCAGGAGAGTGCGGTGCTGATACCACCGAGGCCACTAGTTCGGATCCCATATAGGGATGGCCGGTTCGCTCACTGGGTGAGTGTGGTGCTGACAACACCAAGTCAAGGGGTAAGATCCCCTTGCGGTCATCTTTTTTTTAAGAAAAAAAAAAAAAAAAAGAAAGAAAGGGAATGGGCATTTCAGTTTTTCAGTATGTGACAAATGATTTTGTGCATTTCTCTCTTCCAGAAATGGTTTAAGCAGCGCCTGGCTCAGTGGCGGCGGTCAGAAGGCCTGCCCTCAGAGTGCAGATCTGTTACAGACTAAGGAGACGACCACAGACAGCTTTGCTCCATGAAGAACATCTGCTGTGTCTCTCCTCAGCTTAACCACTTTGGTTTCTCAGTAGTGTTGTATGTTACATTGTTAGCTGTCCTGCTATTTAACACACTGTTGTATTTTTTTAATGTACATAACTAGAAAAGAAAATAACAGTAGGAAGCCATGTGCAGCTTCTGGGTAAAGCAGTGGCTTGGCCGGGAAAGTGGTGTGCCTTGCATTTTCCTTCTGGCATGATGACAGATGGTATGAAAACCATCTAAGTTTGCTTTTGACTGTCCCCTCCCAGTAACAATTTGCTTTCACCATCCATTTCAGAGCAAGCAAGGCCTCTGTTGAAAAGATAACATGACGGAGAGGGGAAAACATTTCCTTCTGAATCTACTTTCCTAAGTTGTTTTCCTTATGTTTCATTTAATACATTGATGGTTGAGTGAGAATACAGAGGGGTAATTTGAGTCATTCAAATTTCATAAAAGTGTTCCTTAGATTATAGCTGTATTCACTTGGAAAGAACCCAGTTAGGCTAGAAGACAAAAATCTCCAACTGACAGAAAAGCAAGTAATTAAGGAAAAATCCACCAAAACTTTTGAATTTACCTTATTTAAATGTATTTGTTAAATTTATTTTGCTAAATAAAATGAACAGTCTTTTGTCTCTACAATGATATTCTAAATAAAACCTTAACTTTTTGTTGAAAATGTATTGAGTCCTCTGCAGGTTTTTAGCTGAATAATAAGCATATCAAAGAGAAACAGAATAGCTCCTTTGGAGATGACTGACTGAAAGCTGTGATTTTCCAAATTCTTGCTACTCAAAGTGTGGCCTAGGACCAGCCTCATTAGCATTAGCTTCAAGCATGTGGGAAACGCAGAATCTCAGACCCCAGTCCAGACCAGCTAGATCAGAATCTGCATTTTTAACAAGGACACTAAGTGGTTGTATGCACATGGAAGTTTGCACAACACTGTTCTAAGAGACTCTGCAATCAGTTTGCATCCATTTACTATCATAGCACCTTAAACATCTGCTATGGTCTGTATGCATCCCCCCAAATTCATATGTCAAAACGGTCCTCAATGTGATAGTATAAACAGGTGAGGCCCTTGGGAGATGATTGGGTCATGAGGGCTTTTCCCTTGTGAATAAGATTAGTGCCCTTTTAAAAGAGGCCTTCGGAAACTTTTTAGCCCCTTTTGCCCTTCTGCCATGTGAGGACACATAGAAGGTGCCATCTGGGAGGAATGGGCCAGACACCAAATTTGCTGGCTCCTTGATCTTGGGCTTCCCAGCCTCCTGAATTGTGAGCAATAAATTTATGTTGTTTATAAATTACCTAGTCTAAGGTATTTTATTATAGCAATCCAAAGAGATAACGTATTAATAGTCTATAAGATTGTGTTTGATTGCATAGAACAGTAACCTCATTAGAATGGATTAACCAGATAAGCTTTTTTGTTTGTTTAATTGATTGTTTTTATGTAAAACATCAGCAGGTAGATAATCCAGGGCTGCCAGAGTGGCTCCTAATGTTGTCAAAGACTTAGGGTTGTTCTATTTTCCCACTTTGCTATGTTCATGGACACAAGATGGATGCTTAGACATTGAGTCTGCATTTCAAGCGAGACAGAGAGAGAGAGAGAGAAAGAGAGAGAAAGCGAACAGCAAATGCCAACTAAGACTTCCTCTTTAAAAAGGATTCTTGGAAGCCCCCATCTACATCTCATTGGCCAGAAAGGGGTCACATGGCCACTTGTAACTGCAGTGGATTCTGGGAGCATTTGTAATTGGGCATATTGCTGCCTTGAGCAAAATTAGGGTTCTGCTCGTAAGAAAGAAAGGGAGGAGGGATATTGGGAAGGTCACTAGCAGTGTCTGCCCATCCAGCCTGGAATGACATGGTGTGTGCGTATGAATTTTTACCTATGATGTAAGCACAATCTTTCTGGTTCTTTAACATAAAGAGTCTAAAAGTACAAACACTAACAATTACTCAGAATAAGGATGTTTATGAGATCTCATTAAACATCGATGGCAAGCTTCCTCTTCCTCCACCTTAAGACATTTTTTATGTAAACCGATACACAGTGAACCAGGATCTGAACAGCATGGCCTCATATCTGGCAGACTCCTCTGCAGCCTAATTAATGGTGATCTGATCATCTGTCAGCACCCATGGATGGACGCTGACTTTACTTTCTAGAAAAAAAACGATACAGGTGGGGGTCAAGCAGGAATGTGAACATATAATAAATATGCACATAGAGAACATGTTTTACCTTTCAAAGCACTTTCATAGCTACTAGCTAACAGATAGTAAGGAAAAAAGTGCTGCTAGTGGGTAAAGCAGACACAGGAAAAGCACAGTGTTTTGCCCATGTCAGGCAACAGAGAGAGGCTCAACCAGGTCTAAGACCCAGGTCAGCAGTCTTTCCAGCACACCTGAGACATGATTCAAGAACAATGCAGGACAAGAAGAGTTCACCAGCTGGGCAGAGAATGTACTTTTAGCTGGGGGCTCAGAAGCACCATTTATGGCAGAATGGTCACTTCCTGTGCCCAAGAGTCCTTGAATGGCACATGATGGGAGGGAATGAGGATTCAGTGTCCTTTAAATGTGAATTTGTTACCAATACTAATCTCCTTGAGTTTGCTTTTTCAACCGTAAAACAAGGACAGCAACACTCTACTAAAAAAAGAAAGCACTTTGTAAATAATAATTACTATTGCTACAACGTACTAATGAAGACAGGGCAGAGTTCATTTTGACATCTGAGATAGGTCTTAATGAGAACTCATAGTTCCATCTGGAATCTCTTCTAGACACCCAGGGTCACACACCAAAGTCATAATACCCACCCTGGACTGAGAAAACTTGGGCAACCGCCTCCCCTTCACTTTGTGTCCGAGTGCTGCTGTTGCAGACAACGTTGGTTCCCAAGCCCCTTCTCTGTTGCCAGCTTTCTCTGTGGAGGCTGTGAAGGGTGGAAAAACTAAACACTCCCCTTTCCAGCCTTACTTGAAGCTGTGGTGGTCATGTGACACCAATGAGGATTAGGCCAAAGACTAGGGGGACAGGGCTTTGGGGAGGTTTTTGCATTTCTTGATAAAAAGTATACAGGTGGTAGGCTCTGTCAGTTCCTCCTTTCTTGCCTTGATCCAGTTTGATTTTCCAATTGTAGAAATAGAGATAAGCCAAAAAAAAAGAAAGAGAGAAAAGAAAAGAAACATACAATACAGTTGGCCTTCTGTATCCATGGGTTCTGCATCCATGGATTCAACCAACCTCAGATCGAAAATATTCAGAAACAAATTGCATCTGTACTGAACATGCAGACTTTTTTCCTTGTCATTATTCCCTAACCAGTATGGTACAACAACTATTTACATAGCATTTACATTTTGTTAGGCATATAAGTAATCTAGAGATGATTCAAAGTATGTGGGAGGATATGCATAGGTTATACGCAAATATTACAGTATTTTGTATCAGGGACTTGAGCATTTGCGGACTTTGGTATCCTTGGGAGGTTTTGGAACTAATCTCTGACAGATACCAAAAGATGACTGTAAAACCAACAAAACCCATAAAAATTATCCATTATTCCACCACACAGAGGTAACCTCTTACTAACCTTAACATTATGGTATACCATATTGGGCAGAGGCATGTTTTCTACACATTAATACACATGGAGCAGGGAGGAGAAATCTGCCATTGAACTGTTGCACTAAGAGGACGGAAGGATTCTTCCTAAGGAAAAAAATGGCTCTTCTATTTAGGAAAACATCTTGATGAGTTTTGGGGACTGTGAAATACAAGTCTAGAAGGTGAAGAAAAAAAATAAGTGGCTGCACACGATAAAAAAAAAAGTATGGATTTAGTACTTTGTCCCATGGGAACTCAGGCAGGTGGACATCTGGGGTCCTTGGGCACTTGGGGAAGGGAGAGATGGAGGGAACGATTGGGGAGAGAGAGCACACAACATGCCAGCTGGCCCAGAAGGGCACGGTGAGGGGCTGGTGGGCTTGCTTAGGAATTTTACAGTGTCAAATATTATATTTCCTATTCATATCTGTACAGGGCTGGGCTTGCTGTTGCTATCCTGTAATTGCTCTGTTACCCTCAACCTTCAGGAAAGCTCTGTTGCACACAATAGCTTGCAGTGGTGATGCTTTGGGGCACGGAGAAGCAGCTGCTGGAGTAATGCTTGCGGCATGCTATGGGGTGTGGAAGCGCTTGTTCCAGTGGGCCCCTCTTCTGGGCAGCACTTTTTACATTTGGGGAACTCCTCCCACTTCATGTGGTCCTGTAGAGCAGTTAATCACAGTGCCCCAGATTCTCCACCATACGACACGTGACCCAGGCTGGCCAATCACAATGCCATATCCCTTTACACACATGGGTTGAACCAATTTACAAGCTCTTGACCTAATACTCTGGGCTGCTCAAAGGCCTTTGCCAGAATTTTCCCAATTGGACCTTGGGAGATAGTTCTTCATTATCCTTTTGCATGGACAGTTATGAGGATGGAGGCCTGGGGTTGCAAGCAGATCTGCCCAGCCACATGGAGAAGGCTACTCTGTAATGGGAGACAACAAAGCCAGGCAGAGATGGGAATTAGAGAGAGAACGAGAGAGTGAGAGTCCTGAAGCCCTGGTTCCCACCCTTGCCTTGGGCTACCCCAGCCTTCCTGGCTCTGTGAACTAGTGGAAATTCTCTTCTTGGTACATATCTGTCATTTGTAATAAAAAAAGTATTCTGGCTAATGGCAGCATGAAAAAGGGAAGAGAGGAGTGCAGGAAAGGAGGAATATCAGTCCCTGGAGTAATTAAGAATTCAAGATAAGCGGGAATTGAGAGCAAGAAGTAATCAGGAATACAGAGGCCAACAAACCTTGAAAATAATTGGGCAGAGTACAAGACTTCTCTCAGTCCATGGGGATTTGAGACACAGTTATTTTTGCATTAAAGGAAAAATGACCCCTGACAAACAGATAATTTACGGACATCAAGGTTACATACTTTTTTGAACTAAATGCAACTGTATGGTAGATATGGTTTTGTTACCTTCTTGGGAATGTTTTTGCTACTCTCTCTCAACCCTTGCCCCCTCCATGTGTAAATCTTGTTCCACATACTCCACTGTCTACTGAAAGGTCATTTTAAAAACTTCATAGCAACCATTTCAAATGCATCCCTGCCCAAACTCAACGCCAAAGTGATAGCGATAATAATAAAAACAATTGGAAACTTTGCATTCTTTTCCCATGATGGAAGCATGAAGAGGACACAGCCTGGCAAAGATCTGGAACATCAGCCGCTGCTTATATTGGCAAGGCAGGAGAATAAGATTTTTTGGTTTTATGAAGCCTGGTGTTATGATGTTATGCTTTTATATAAACACTTCTAGGAGTGAAGTTTCCTGGAAACCCTCTCCCTTCTCCTTCACCTTTTCAGTTGTACCACTACAAATATTTGAGAGCTACTGCATGAGGAATGTGCTCTTGTAAACATGAGTCTCAATGTGGCTTCTTATAAGAGTTTGCCATTTAAACCTAGAAAAATATAAGAAACATTGATTTGAATCTCAACTTATGTAACTCATCCAACTACTTAAATACAATGGCAAACTGACTCATAGTTCATGTGACTCATCCTTAGGGTTCCAGATTAGCAATGCAGAAGGATTTTCTTCCTTCT